TCACATTGAAGTTAGTATCCATTACCTGCAAAAACTGCCATTCACCATTATAAGACATCAATAGTACCTGATTTTATATAAGAAATATAAGAGATAATACCACCTGATATCCATAGTTAAAAATTAAAAAAAAACTCTACTGAGGAGAAGATGGGTTGGATTGGATTAGATATCTCCCCTCAATGGAAATTTCATTCAAACCTCTTAAATAAGACAAGTGGAAGAACATTATTAAAATACTGTAAAGTTCTAAACTACTTAAACATCTAAAGGCTTTTGAAAACTTTATACCCAAGCTTAGTTAATTCTGTCATGCACCAAGGTGCCAAAAGATTGAGCAATGATGAATGTTAATCCACTTTTATAAAATCAAAGGGTTCATTTTTTTTTTTTACTGTAAAGAAATTATTTGAATAAAATTTGACCTTTTCTTGAATACTTTTTAGGTCAAATTGAACCCTGTGTTAAAATTCTCTAATATCTTCCTTGTATTAGCATTTCAAAACTCAATTTAAATACCCATAGAGTTCTTTTTAATAAACTTTGTAAAATTCAGGTAATTTCCTTCAACTTCCTTGATTGAAGAAAAGCAGTAGGCAAAGATATATAAAAAGATGCACAGCTATGAGCAAAACCTGAAATCAATTATATATAAAAATAACATAACACATGGAACGAAATTAATCAAAAGAAAAAAAATTGTACTATATGATTCTCTAGTCTTCTACCTGCAGGCAAGGAACATAAATGAAAAAAAAAACCTCGCACAACATTCTTCTCTCAGATAAGGAAAAAATTAATAAAAATGTTTCCTTCCAACAGATCCCCTGATGCAACTAATGTTAAAAGTGAGCAGCTGCAGGAAAAAAAAACTTGTTCATTTAAAATACTTTCCATTTTCCTCGGCCAAAGAAAAAATAGCTTTTGTCTTCTGGATTAACTCAATTACATCAGGTGTGTGTGAATCTGCAGTGTTCAAAAACAGTGCCATACCCTTCTTATCCTTGTCAAACGGCTCTAAAATGACTTGAAATTATTTGACACAGAGTTTGAAAAGACAGGGAAGATGGATAGGTAGGGATAGATGATAGATAGATGATATTTGATATGACTTGGTTTTAACATTAAATCATTCTAAAACTTCTATATAGGTCTTCATTAAAAGCCCTGAATTATGCTCATATTTAATCATTTAAATGAGCCAGCAGTTTGCAGCATCCAACAAAAAAGCCAACACAGTTCTAGGCTGCATAAACAGAGAGATAGAATCAAGATCACGTGAAGTGTTAATATCGCTTTCTAATGCCTTGGTAAGGCCACACTTGGAATAATGCATCCAGTTTTGGTCGCCACAGTGTAAAAAAGATGTTGAGGCTCTAGAAAGAGTGCAGAGAAGAGGAACAAAGATGATCAGGGGACTGGTGGCTAAAACATATAAAGAGCAGTTGCTGGAATTGGAAATGTCTAGTTTAATAAAAAGAAGGACTAGGGGAGACATGATATCAGTGTTGAATATCTCAAGTGTTAGATATCTCTTCACAAAGAAGAGGGAGTCAAGCCATTCGCCAAAGCAACTGAAGGCCGGACAAGAAGCAATGCACAAAAAGCAATGGATTGAAACTAATTAAGAAGAGAAACAACTTAGAACTAAGAAGAAATTTTCTGACAAACAATTAATCAGTGGAACAACTTGCCTCCAGAAGTTGTGAATGCTCCAACACTGGAAGTTTTTAAGAAGATGTTGGATAACCATTTGTCTGAAGTGGTGTAGGAGGTCTTCTAGTCCAACCCGCTGCTTAGGCAGGAAATCTACACCACTTCAGACAAATGGTTATCCAACATCTTCTTAAACAACAGAGTTGTTATTCTATACCTAATCAGTAGTAGAATGAGACTTTTTATGTATGTATTTAATTGAACTTGTGTGTTGCCTCAATTAGCATTAAAGGAAAAAAAATGAAAACAAAAGATAAAACTCACAAATGATGATGATGTTCATGTAAAAAAAGAAGAACACATCAGAGAAGAACACAACAAAGACTGCAATATGTAGGTTAAAAAAAAGAAGTCTAATATTAAGGAACAGGTCATAACTACTGTATCCCAGGTTCTGGTGGAAGAGCCAGGTTTTGTGAAAAGCAAATGGGTGAAGTCCACATAAGTAGGGGAATGTTGCTCTGTAGGGCAGGTGCAACCATATAGAATTTTTATGCTACATCATTGATTAAAAATGGAAGTTAAATCTGAGGGTAATCATAGTTGAATACTAAAGTAGGTCTATATTACCAATACTCATACAGCTCTATAGCATGCATTGTCTAGATCCAATAGCTGAAAATTAGATTGTTTGAGCTGTATTCACACAATTACCCATAGTTTCATTCAGATGGCTTCCATCTTTGAATGTTTAATATTTCATAATAGATCAGCTTTGCATTTTTGTAGGACAATTTAGGTAATATAATACTACATAGCTAAATCTGAAAATAGGAATTTAATTTATCAGAATTCAATTTAGAGACTGAGATGAATTAATTTTTTTAACTTCCCTTTTGAAATTTCAAATACTGTTTTGATGGCATATATTTTTAGGAATACTGGTAATGAAAAAAAACCGGTCAATAATTCCCCAAATAGAGGGATGGTACAATTGAAATGATCAGGAGCATGCAAATTGTTATATTGAAAGTCTACTTTTCTCTTAAGTTCATAATGTAATAATTTATGTTTTAAATATGGTGTAAATTTGGTGCAGATTCATTTTCTATTTATTGCATTGTAGCTCTTGTAACTGATACTGCTTTAAACCTTGGTAAGCTACTGACTAAGTTCTGTCATGTGATGCAAGAGAATGGTAGCATACACAGTTAATTTAGATAAATATTGAAAAGAGGGGACTAAGTTCTCTTAGTTTAAAAATGTATATAGATTTTTCTCAGTTTATATTTGGGTTATGTTCTCACGAAACCTAATATAACATAAATTCACATGAAGAGAGACACTGAATTGCTGGGGAAAAATGGGATTGTGGGGTACAGTGGCAAATTTTGTAACCCAAATTGATATACAAATGTGCTAATAAAACTTAGAGCTTTATTATAAACATTACTTTGCTCATATATGTTGACTCATGTCCTATGGACATGAAAAGTTTTTTTCCCCATTTTTATTATGGCTGGCATTTTTTAAAATTCAGTAAAGGAGTTTTGGATAGGAAAAGACTCGATTTGAATGTCATGAGAATATGGCTGTTTTCTCATTAGTAGAGTTCAAATTTCCTGTTTCTGTAAGTTGTTTTGCATTCAAATTCTTTGATTCATTTTATCTATTGAAGGATATGTTTGGGCTGTATTAAAATGATTCAGAAAAGGTGTTTTAGAATGCATTGGCATGTTAATCCACTGTCTCTGTAAAGTAGCCATACTATTTTTTCTGAGTGAGCTTTTAAAACTATTAACATTGTTTTAAAATTTAAAAAAAGGCTTCCTAAATTAGCTTTATTTGTTTTCTGGACTTGGAAGTCTGAGAAAAGATACAATGCATCTGTAGACAATATCCCATTTCATTATAAACCAGCCTTATCAGGTGGAAATTCAAGGACATCAATGCTCATAGAAGTTTTATTTGTTGGTCACTTTGAAATCATGGAATGTAATACTTCTAATGTTTTGTTTGTCTCAATATCCTCTTTTTCTGTCTTACGAAAAAGGGTTAAGATTCATTTATAATGTGTTATTTAAAATAGTGTTATTGTTGGCTCTTATATAGCTATAGTTTTATTTTTTATTCTTTTATTCTTTTGATTTGTTTACACTTTCTTGCTATTCCTGTGGAGAGAAAATATTTTTTTTTGCTTAATAAGCAAGATAAATACATGAACGGGTGTGAACAATAAGGCATTCATCAAAACTTTACAACTGATTCGGTGATTTTAAAAATTGGTTATCTGCCTATTTATTTTTAATTTGGATATCTTCGCTATAGCAGCCTGATTAAAAACTTGGAATACACTAGTTAGCATAGCTCAAATGTATTAAACAGTAATAAATAGTTAACTAGATTGTGGTTGTTCCTTTGAGATGTAATATGAGTCCTGGCTTTGCTGCTTGAAGTTAGATAAAATCTATTTTTAATAAAAAGATTTTTCTTATTTATTGGTAAATGATATTTTTATCAGTACTTTTATATAATACTTTTAAATAATATTGTTTAGACTGTAATACTATTTAATGGAAATACTTTTAATGAAATTTTAGTAAACATAATTTTAATGATATTAACATACTAATTTCAAAATGTAGTTTAACATAACTTTTATAAATACTATGTTTTGCCTCTGAACAGTAAGGCGTTATTGGGACTTAGATGAATGATAATTCTAGAACTGTAGAGTGTAGATTTGGTTAGACTTAATAGCAAGATGGTGCACAAAAATAGCATGGTTGATAGTGCTGAAGCTGACACTATGGACATGGAATACAACCTGAGATAGGCTGAGATAATTCTAGCATTCTAATCTCTCCAAAACAATTGATGGGACTCTAAAATCCTTAAGGAACAAACCAGAGTTCGTAAATGATGATAAAAGAGGAATAGTAATAGGAGGCTTACCAATGTAAGGGACAGACACAAAACTGTTTGAATCAGATAAGAATAGCAAGTTGAATTCTGCCTTTCTGTTACGCATATGTTGCACATGGTGAAAAGGTTACCAAACTGACTTATTGCTATATTTTCCTGCTTATATACACAATAACATCAGGAAAAAACTTTTCAGGGAATAGTAAAGCTATGCATAAGAAGAAAGTGCTCCTGATATATATTCGTGAGGAAGATTTTTTTGTCAATTTGATCTTAATTCTCATTCATTCATTCTCTCCCTCTCTCCCTCCCTCCCCCCTCTCTTGTTGATCACCTGTTTCTACATACAGAATCCTAAATCAAATCTTTAGGTATGGCTTTTGCTGCTGTATTGGTACAGTGTTCTTGTTTTTTTAAAGGCCCCCTTGAAGATGCTGTTGAGGATGAAGAGGAAGAGTGCCTATCTGAGGAAAATGAAATTATCTCCAAAGAAGACTTTCCCCTGGAGGGAAACTTTTCTGCAGAATTTGAGTCTGGGAATCTGAACTGTGAAGATGTGGAATACTTTTGTAATAAAGGTAATCAGTATTATGCAGTTCTTGGTTCAGACATAATGTAAATTGATTTTGTTTTCTTTGGAACTGTCTTATAAATTTACAGTGACTCCTTAGACACTATAGGCCACGGATGTCAAAGTTGATCACATCACGTGACCTATTTTTTGCCTTTGTGGAGCCGGGGTGGGCGTGGCCTGCACATGCCGCCAGTTTGACACCACTATTATAAGGCATATATCTTTCTGGGAGAGCAATATGTTACATAAGGCCACTTCTTAGTAACCTTTTTCATAGCAATTGTGTCTTAATGCTTTATTGACCATTGTACACCAACTTTTCTGCCTACTGAGGTAATCTCTGATGTCAGCTTGAGAAACCACAGGCTATAATGCGACTCTTGTTTGATGCTAGATTGATTGATTGATTGATTGATTATGCATCATCAATTCATTTTCAGTTCCTAGCAGACACATAGATAGAATTTCTTCCTAATGATCTATATCAATGCTGGTCTTTCAAATCCTCCAGCATTCTCTTCTTCTCTTTCTTTCCCCTTTTCTCAGCATTAGAGCCTTTTCCAGAAAGCTAGGTCTACATATAATGTGTCCAAAGTAGAATCATTGAAGCCTTGTCCTTTTATGTCTTGAGTGGGAATACTAGGCAGATTTTTAGATGATCCAATGGTTTCATTTCTTGGCTTTCCATATTTTCAACAGTCTATATCAACGCCAAAGTTCACAGGAGTCAATATTGTCTCTGTTCTCTTGCTCAGAGTTCAATTTCATTCCCCCAAAGTGTCACAGAAAATGCCATGGTTTACATGATTCTGATCTTTGAGATAAAGAGATATCATCTTTTCCATGGCCTTCATGGCTATACCAAGTGCTAATCTACAACATTTCTTCCTGTTTATTCCTTTACTATTGATGGCTGAACCAGAGGTGGACATCACATAATGTAATAACCAGTTGGTCCAGAACCGAAAATGTGAGTCCGTGCCTTCCGTGCATGTTCGCTTAATCAAAAACACGTTTAAATAGGACGGGACAGCACCAGGGTGGATGGATGGGCCCAACCCAAGTTTGGTATTGTATGTTTTAAGAATTCGGGGTGTCTATATGGTAAGAGTCTAGATATGAATAATAACTTGAAGTCAGATAAAGTTGATGATGATTCCAGGAGCTGGGCTGAGTGAATTTAACTAAGGATGTCAGCATTCATTTACACTGATCCCATTGTTATTTGATTCAGCATTTTTCTCTTTCCTGCTGCATTTGTAGGTATCTTTTTGGGGACATTTTAATGCTAACAAAATCTTTGGCAAACTGGAAAAGTTCCTATTATATCCACTACTTTCTTATTTTATGTGACCACGTGTAAATATTTTCTGCGGCTTTTATGTTTTGTTCATACAGCCAACCTATTTGCTGTCTTGTCTGTGTATATTTAAGATAATCAGAAAGGTCAAAAGTTATTTTTTTTTAAAAAAAGATGCTTTGAATCAGTAATGATTTTCTACTTCCTCAAGACTATCTTTTGTGCTTTCCTAATGCTAAGTAGCCAGAAGCAGAATTAAGACAAGGCAGTTCTACCTGTAATCATTTTGAGATCCACGGGGAAGCCTTTACGGATGATAACTTTGCTTCTTTTTTCTTAGCAGGATTAAGAAGTTCCATACTTTGCATGTCTTGCATATAGTGATGAGTTTTTCAGGGTGTGCTTAGCCCAAAGAGTTCAAAAGGGAAGGGAAAAAAGAAACTCTCCCAAAAAAGCCAATATGACTTTGTTTTTTACCTTGCTGGAGGAACTGTTTGTGGAAATCGTCTATAAGCTTATTGACCTGAATCTTTGACTCCTTGTTTTCTCTGGATTTGACTGGAGTGTAGACACTGATAGAGCCGTGAAAGAGGTGATTGAACAGCCCCCAGCTTGGCTTGGCATCAAGCCCCACAACCCCCCTAGGACTGACATTATCATTCTCTGAAAATACTTCATGTCTTCTCAAGCTAACACAGTCTTTTTTTAAATTTATTTTTAATTCTTCCCAGAGCCTTTATGTAAGAGTTTTAAAGAAAACGAAGGGCACAGCAATTTTTAATAAACAAAGATAGTGTATAAAGTATGATGAGAGGTATCTCTTAAAACAATAGGATTAAAAAAAAGCAAAGTTACTGTTTGTAATTTTTGAAAATGATTTTAAAAATCAGCACTTTCAGATGCCTAATTTTATAAACAAAAGTGAAGGAATTTTCTCTTGGATTATCTTTAATTATACACTCAAGTATAGTCACTCTGTGTAACTGTATGTATTCCTCTGCTGTTTTTTCTAAAGCTTGAGGTTGCTTTTTCAGAAGGACCAGTTGCTGCAAAAGTAAAAAAATAATCAGAAGGAATATTTTTCTGCAATTACAGTTCTTCTGGAATATGACTTGTTTTCAAACAGGGATAGCTAAAATTTGATTACCACATTTGAGATCAAAAATGTTTCTTTTGTAGGTCCGGTTGAGCTTAAACTTTGAGGGAAATTGCTTGTAGAAGAAATTAAAAAAATATATTTGTTGTGGAATATATTTGGTTTCCAATTATGGCATACTGGTGTTAATGGACTTGAATAAAAAATATTGAAGAATATTTGATCCTGTGTCCTCATAAACCCTATTGTTTATATGTTTCCAAACATTCAATTTTATGTAGATTGTATACTCAGGAAATTAAATATCCTTTAAAATGTTCTTTCATGTCTTCTTTTCTGTGCTATCTATATCACGTGATCACATATGTACAATTCCTGGTGAATTTTTAGGATCTTCTGTATTCTGGATTTCATAGAAAAGATGCTGTATTGATCAGTCCACTTCTGTCAGAGATACATTAATGACCTTACTGGATTCCAAGCAACATGTTAGCTTTCTCTCTTAGTTGTCATGATCTGATATAAAATAAGTGATATTTACGCCATTTCATTAAAACACTTCCTTGACTTTAGTTCAAGCAGACATTACAAATACACTATTCATATAGTATATATACAGAGATTGTACCAAGAATGCATACAGAACTATCCATTGCTTGATAACCTTTTGTCTGTAAATAATTGTATAGGAGTCCTCTAAAGAAAATGATCAGCTTAGTATTTCCAGAATAAAAACCTTTTGGTCTCTATGTTGTGTACGAATGTTTCAGGAATGTCAATGACAGAAGATTCACAATGCTTTCCTGAAGCTGTAGAATGGGAGTTTGCTTCAGTAGGGCAACAACTTTATCAAAAGCCATAGTCTTACCAGGATCCTTATTAATGAAGATCCAGATAGCTCAGCATGAGTACTTGCTTGCATGTTGAAGGTCTCAAGCTGAGTTCCTATATTTTGTGTTTGATGGAAATTTGGGGAAGTTGCTTGTTTGGAGAACCTATTGACAATCAGTGTGGGCAGTGCTCAAGTTTATCACCATCACTTAATAATTTCTGATTTAATTGGTTAATTATTCAGCATCTTTGATTAAGACAGGTAACTATGAGAGAGGGTAAAGAAGGCAGGCTGGCTACTGAAAATATCACTATATATCTTATTATAATTCATCTAATTATTATATAATTATATAATTCACAGAATTAACATGGAAACCCAGCTTAGCAGATCCAACAGAAACTTAACCTTCCTTTTGTAGTCTGTACAGAGATCATCCAGAGTGTTAAATAGTGACATTATGAATACTTAGCTTAAGAATTCAGTTGATATATTTCTTTCCTGGCATATATTATTATGAATCGATGCAAAGGATTGGTTATATTCTGGTACTTATGGTATATGTAAAACTTTCAGTTACTGTAACTCAATTAATTGTCATTTCGTTGCTATAGAAATTATGAAATAATTCTATATTAATTTTAATGTTCATGTACATTATTTCTGAATATTGGCATGTGACTCCGAAACATTTATATTATAATCTCAATTTTGAGCACTATTCCTTGAGATATGATTGGTTTTCCTTTTTCTGTTTGGCAATTGGAAAACTATGCATTTCACATAAAACGCAACATAGTGCTTGTCACAAGCATTTTTTAAAATGCCACTTTGTAAGTAATAAGCACCTATTACTAAGTGATAGACAGCAGTCAAGAGAAAAAAAGCATGAAAACATGGAGTAAAATGGACCTAAATTATTGTTGCAGAAAACCTGTGATTACCTCCCCCTTCATCCCTTTTTGTCCATAACTGTTGAGACAAAGTTGAGTTTCAGAAAAGAAACATATATACTGTAAATGAAACATTTAAAAAAGATAGAAAATAATATCATGTAAAGTTTTGTTCTTCTATATATTCAATACAATTTTGGTCTCAAAAAGTATATGTCATATAATATTGAATATGGATTTTGAAACACAGTATATGTATAAATGCAAATATTGAGAAGACACTGGCTTAAAAGAACACATTTAAATATTGATTTAAATGCAGATTTTCATATTTTCAACTTATTGAATTTACGAGAGAATGCAGTCAGAACTAATGTACTGAAAAACATTAAATTTTAAAATGCCACATTGAAGTGATATATGTTGATTCAATTTTATCACCTCCAGATGAGATGCAGAAGTCCAGCAGCCTAAAATTTCATGAAGATGTGTTGGAGAAATGCAGCAGACTAAAGTTGCATAGTCAGACTTCTCAAACTGGAGGCTGGAATAATACTAGAGCTCTAAGCAATGTATCTGGGAATATTGTATTATTAACTGAACCGTTATCAAGCTGGTTATCTCTAGATGTATTGCAGATTAAAGTTAAGTTCTCAAGCTGAGAAACGTGGAAAATATTAGGGCCCAAGAAGTATGTCTGGGATTTCTCTTAGCATATCATAATTTAGTGCAGAACTAGTTTATATTCGAATGTTTTGTTGGATGACTTTGTAGGATAAATGGGAAAAGAATATGGTTGTCCATTAAATAAAGGTTGTAGGCTTTAAATTATGCCAGTTCTTTCCTAACATAATGTTACTGAAGTTTAGTAACATCAGGGAACTTTGTAAATTGTGCTTATCTTCCTGTACCTCTGATAATTTTATGACACAGAGCAAGGATGTGCATTGTGCAACCTGTGCCAAAAGCCAGCCAGCCTTACCTTAAATTAGAGCATTTGTTGACCATTAATGTTCTTTTGCTGTAATTATATTTGTATATGAACAGTTCTCCAGTAGCATATTCACCTCTACTGAAGCAAAGTATCTTATTTGGAGTCTTCTATCCTTCTATACACTATACATCTGGAATAGAACCACAGTGTGAAACCTAGATTATTCAGGTCAAAGCTACCAAAGCAACTGGATAAAGAACGAAGTGTGGAATTTTAAAATCACAGTTTCTTTTTAAAAAAAATTGTTAACACATTGTCTTTATTGCTTTTGTAAGCTTTTTACTTTTTTAAACACTTTTTTACCTACTCTAGGTAGAGATGGTAGCAAAGGGAACAAAAAACATATAGTTATAACCTTCAACATTTCTTAGATGTTAGCCATTACATTTTGCTTATATTTTGACTGACTGATGTAAAAAGGAAGAAAAAAAAGGGGGGGGGGGAATGTTCTGTCTGTTTTTATATCTTTGAAACTCCTTGTAATTTTGTGCAGTTTATACAAATAGTAGACATGCAACCAGCAGCAAAAACAAGGCTTGCCTCTGAACTCCAAAATGTAATATTCTATTTATGGAATATAGTATCATTTAAGGTCAGCAGTTTGGAATAAAGCATTAATATCCGGAATTAAAGCTCAAGAGATTAAAGGCAATGACAGTTAAAGCATTAGGAGCTTGATGAAAAGTATGTTTTACAACTTTTTGAAAGTTTACAAAGATATTAGGGTTTCTCAGCTAAGGCAGGCAGTACGTTCCAAATAATTGAGGTATAGAGAAAGCTTTACTTCAGGTTGATTCATAATTTATTGATGGATATATTGATGGACTGACTGATCATATTTATAAGGTCATTCTTCTACCAAATTCTTCTATCATTCTTCATTCATTCATTCATTCATTCATTCATTCATTCATTCATTCATTCTTCTATCATAAACTGAGTGCAAAACATACAATATTAAACTTGCAATGAAATGACAAAATGAATCTTCAGTAACTATGAATTTTGGAAGCAGAGTTTTTATTCAGGTTTTGTTTTTGGTACTGCTGGCACTTTACTTTTATATGTGCGCACCTGAACTTCATCCAAATTTTCTACATTTCCCCCTCTGTCTTTTAGGCAGCTTTCCGTTTGTACTGGGAAGTCCTTACTGAAAGCTATCTCGTCTGATGATAAAACCATGAGTGTATGATGCTCACACATTTTTCATCTCTTTTATGACCTTATCTTTCACAAGCAGCTTCTGTGAAGGTATCCTAACTATAGAAAGCACCTGGAAAACATATATGATATCTATGCTGTGATAAGCAGTTGTGAACAAGAAACTAGACCTGTCAGCTCTGAACTGTTCATTGTTAAAAAAAATACTTTGTAGATATAGGTGATTGCAAAGTACATTATAGGGGAACCAACAGCTGCTGTGATACTCAGTCAAGGAAAAAAAACACTTCAGTAGTTGTCTTGTGTAAGAATGAACACACACGCAATACATATGCACACACACACAAACACACACAGAGACTCACACTCATACACAGAGTATAAAGCAATTGAAATGCGTAAGTTGAATAATGCAACATGGCAAATATTGGAACTTCTGTTATTTTTTTGTATTGTATTTTTAACCAAGTGATTTAAAAAAAAAGAAAAGGAAAGAGAAAAAAAGGAAAAGAAGAAAAAAACATGCTAAAATAGAAAAGTAAAGTAGATAAGGAATTTATAAGTATCGTAGAATTAGGTTACATTTTTCAATTCTGTATTTTATTAACTACATTAAATAACTAAGTCTATGAAATCATTTTTGAAAGTATCAGTCTTTAGAATCCAAATAATATATACAGTATATATAAAAAGCAATAGTCAACATAGTATAAAGCAAGATTAAGAATTTTATAATTTTGGTCTGAACCATAGAAATTTTAGAGGTACCAAAATTTCAAATACAATAAAATAAAACAAATTTTAAAAGTTGGATTTCCTTTCTAACCTGCTATTTTTCAATTAAATAGCCCCAAACCTCACATTTCTGCAAAGCATATGGTATTAGCTCTGTATATGATAATTGATGCAAGAATGCTTTTATAAAAAAAATATGCTTACAGGTAGTCCATGACTTACAGCCATTCATTTAGCAACCGTCTGAAGTTACAATAGTGCTGATCAAATTGATTTACAATAGTTCATTGCCCATAAAACAATTGCAGCATCCTTGGGGAACTTGACAACTGACTTGCATTTGTGACAGGCATCCTGAGGTTACATGATCACCATTTATCCCAGCCAACTTCCAACAGTCACTGAGGAAGATTTCAAATCACAGCCATTTAACAACTATGGTGATTTTCTTAAGGACCATGCCAAAAAGGGTGATCAAGAGGCTACTGGGGGTTGTTGTGTGATGATCCTCCTAACAACTCCACTGATTAATAATGAATTTTCCAGTCCCAATTTAAGTTGTACGTCGAGGAGTACAAATTATTGCTTCTACAGAAGAATGGCTAGTGAACCCTTGGAGATACCTCAATGTCTAACTTAATTTTGTATCTTAAAAGTAAATATGACACAAAATCTAACTTGATTTGGAAACAATTCTGGATCACAACTGTAAATAATAGGTTCTGTTATAAATCATTTCAGAAAATTGTTGCTTTTTATTGTACAACACTGCTATCAAATATGAAAACAGAATCCAATCTGTTCATTGCTTTTGCAGTAATTTTTAGAAAATGAACTGTCCAATTTAGCAAAGGAGCTAGCTCATCACTGACCTTGTTAAAGCCAAAAGCCACACTCAGTCTTAGGAAGAAGGCAATGGCAAATAACTCCTTGAAAAAAATTGCCAAGAAAACTACAGGGACTTGTCCTTTGACTTATACACACACACACACACACAGAGGGAGAGGGAGAGACAGACAGACAGACAGACAGAGCAAGCTTCCCATGTTTTTTCTAAGCATAGTATTTAGCGTGAATTCTTTCATTTTCATTGTTGTATATCAGTTATTGTGTTTAAATTCCCCATCCCCTTGATTATACTTTAAATTTAAATCCCCTTTAAATTTTTCAGTTTCCAAGTCGTATTTAACAATTTATAAATAATAATAAATACTTGCTATACGATTTTTAAATTCAGTCCAGTCTCTGTGTTTCCCTCCTTATTTTAGCAGTTCCTTTAAAGCAGTGTGTCAAACTCACGTCGTCATGGTGGCGTCACATGACGTATCGGGAATTTTTATCCCTTTGCTGTACTGGGCAAGGTGAGGCCAGCGCATGACATATCCAACCTGTGGACCGAGAGTTTGACAGCCCTGCTTTAAAGTGTTGTTTTTCAAATTTGACACCTTTAAGATGTGTGGAGTTTAACTCCCAGAACTCCCTGTCAGTTCCCACATATCTTACTCACGTATCTTAAAGACTTCAAGTTTGAAAAACACTGCTTTAAAGCCCTACTGCTTGGCTGAAGATATTGAAATCATTCTAGTGATTCAGATCATTCCTAAAAGAACTTCAAAAGATTTTATCTTTCTCTTATTAATAAACAAATCTTGTGGTAAGAATTGTTACCTGTCCACTGAGCAAATTTCATTGTGCTTTGCTTTTCAAGCAAATAAATATTCAATAATGAAGCGAGAGGTGATAAACCTGGATGGATTATTTTCCTTTATTTATACAAAACTTTTAACTTCAATGGTAGACATGTTTGATTCCTGGAGTGTGTGTGTGTGTGTGTGTGTCAGGGTGCATTCTGACTGTATTGTGCTTTCTAAGCTGTCTGCATTTTCCATTACACCTGAATATTTACTCATTTTATTTATTTACTAACAGTTAACCCAGCATTGCCCGAGAATTTATAGACGTTGAAGCGTGTCTGACAGGGAGCTGTTGAGAGGGACCTTTCTTTCCCCTACTCCCATGCGCTCCTCTTTCCCTCCCTGGCACTTTGTCCCAAATCCATCAATCGCTTCCCCACCGGAGGGTGAATGTCACGGCTGGCTTTCCAGAGGAAGCTGCGAAGAAACTGACATTGCAAACAATTGCCACTCTAGGATGCCATGCTTGCTCTCCTTAAGGGGCCAGGCGTTCCAGAGTTAGAATGTTTAGAACCTCAGGAGTCATTTAAACAACCTAATAATTTACCGTATATCTGGTAATAAAATTGAAACCAATACATAACAACTTAACGATAATTTTTTGATTCCCATTTCAGAGTCTCCATTTTCTTCTCTTAAAATAAAACCATATTAATGGTATACATTTCTTTGGCAAATTAATAGGTGATGAAGAGGGCAGCCAAGAAACAGCAGATTCTGATGGGGATGCACGTTCAGATAAACCAGGACCGCTTAAGCTTGAGACAGAAGACTGGGATGGACCAGGTAAGGAAGTATCTAAGGAAAAGAACAGCTTATATCTCATTGATCATTGCTATAGCAGTTTACTGGTTGAACCGCATCTGCAGTTGATTTGCCAAAGAAA